GATTTTGCCAGGATCTGCCTTTTGGTCTTTAATCTATTAAAGCCCTGTGATGGGCTGAGCAGTTTTACTTCATGCCAAGCCCCTGCACAAGCTCAGCCCACCAGCCAGGGAGGATCCAAGGGCTGGACAGCAGGTTTGCCAAAGCCCATGTGCCCATCTCGGGGCGGGGGGGGGCAGGCACAGGGAAAGGGAGGCTGTGAAGTGCTTTAAAAGCAATAAAACATTAGTGACAAAGTGCTGGCATGGAGCCAAAGATATTATTCCCTCAAGCAGGACCCAACTGCAGTTGTTTTGTACGTTTGAATGAGGAATAATGGGGTTTTACAAGAACACTTCAAAAGGGAAGCAGGGGTGCTGCCGAGTGCCAGACAACATAGACAGCAGCTTTTCAGATGCAGTCACCTAATTTTACAGATCTTTTATTCTTTGCTCCTAAATAGATTTGCTGTTGCTTTTATTGTTGAATGGGAAGCGTTGAAGGAAATAAGGGAAAAAAACCCAAATCAAAAAAAGCCAAAACAAGCTCCTTGCAACAGGAATTTTAGATGGGAACAGACCTTCTGAGTCCTCCAGCCTGAGTGAGCAGTCAGTAGGTGGGACCGTCACGGGTTCACCATCCCCAAGGATGCTGCTTGCTGGACCTAAACTGGTTTATTTATGCAGAGAAGCAGATTTCTGCTGGATTGGGGTGGTGCTGCTGGGCAGCTACCCAGGGCAGAGGAGCTAATGTAAGCTGAGTCTCACAGTAGCAACCAGCCACATACTTGGTGTTTGGAGAGCTCAGCTTTGCTTTTCTCACTGTGCTGGACTCTGCAATGGCTTGTGGTTTTTGGTTTTCATGTGCAGAGGGGCACTGAGTTAGCTTTAAGCTGTGATGGAGCCTCAGTGAAGCCTCAGGACCAGCCACTGATACTGGAAGGGAATGATAAATGGATAAAGTGCTCGCACTCTGGGTCTGGCATATTCTTGCCTGTCACGTAAGCACTGAGTTTTTAATTTTTTTTTTCCTAAAATAAAGGAATTTTGTCCCTTCAAGATGCAAAATCCTCATGAGGTTTGCAGGGGATGGAGACAATATATGGTGGGCTGGGGCTGGAGGTGGGTGTCTGGGGAGGGAGACAGGAAGAGGGACTGAGGAAGATGAGGGATGACAGTGCTGTCTGCCTTAGGGATGCTCAAAACTAACCTCTGCAAAGGGACCTAAGTAGCATTGGTCCTGAGACTGAGTGGATGAGGCAGGGCAGTGTCTGAGCCTCTGGCTGTCCAGCTGAATTTCCCATTTGATTTGCCATTGTATCTTGCAATAAAAATCCCCAAAAGCTGGAAAAGGCAGATTACTGTGCAGTGGTGGGCTTCTTAGCAGGCATGGTCAGCCCATAGGCAAAACCATATTCCTTTCCAGTTTGATGTCTCCCATAAATATTGTTATTTCTGCTTACTTGCAGAAACCAGAGCAGAAAGTCCTCTGTTCCCACCATCTCCCTGTTTTGCCTGTGGGCTGATCAATGGTGGTACTGGAAAGGCTTCGATACTACAGACTGATGCCAAACTTATGCTGCCCCTTTTTGGCCCATGTGTGATGCCCCCAGGGTGCTGCAGGGAGCTGGTGATAGCCCCAGGGGTGCAGCACTGTCCCCACTGGCTGCAGCACTGGTTGTTAAGGGCAGGAAAGTGCAGCGGGCATTAGATTTGTTTTGGGGATGTAGGCTGTTACCATTGTCAGGGATGAGCTGGGTGGTGAGTGATGTCTCGGGTGAGAGGTGTTGGAGCTGGCTCCCGATGTGATGCTGTTGTGCCAATTGGAAATCTTCCCAGAGCTTGAAGGAGGCACTGTGTGAATTTCATCCTGTATCACAGGGTTGTGGGAAGGAGCCTGAAACCACGTGGCAAAAGGAGTTGTGGGGACAGGGGGCTGGTGGCTCTGTTTGGCTGAGCAGGTTGGGATCTCTGTGCACATCACCTGCCTGGGAAGGGGGGTCCTGGGATGACCCTACTGGTATCCAGAGGGGAATCCTGGGTATAGCTGCTGCTCCCAGTCTCCTGGTGATGCATCCCCATGTCTCCACCACTCCCATCCCTCCTTACGGGGAGAACACCCAGATGAGTGTTCAATTTCTCCTCTTCCTCTGTTTGGGCTCTTCAAGATTAGATTTGCTTCATCTTTTATGTTTCAGGAGGAGTGGGGTCTCAGGGACAGCAGTGTAAATGCAGCATTGAACTTGGCTGCCAAGGAGGAGGACTTTTGACACAGGGTCAGCTGGTACCAGAAGCCTGTAGCCAGTACCCAGTGGTCTTAAGAGCCTTGGGTTTTCATCTGACCCAGCAGCATTTTGCTTCTCCCCTCCACTCCATCACTGGAGCATCTCCCTTTCCCTGTTCCCAGCTAATGGGCCCCAGCATCTAATTTCTTAATAACCCTCATTGCATCACCCCAAAGGTCATGTTTGCCAGGTGCAACTCTGGGAACTGCTTGTCTCTCCTCTCCCTGGGTAGGGACCAGCCTTGCAGTAAGGCAGGGATTTAAAGAGCTGCAGATAATCTCAGCCACAGGCCACTGTGAGGGTTGAGCTGAACAAGTCCAGGCACCAGGAGGCAATTAGGAAGGGATGGTGGGAATGAAGCAGGGAGGTCACAGCAGCCAGATGTTGCTAGGAGTTAACGTGGCTTAATTTTCTATCTGGCACTCAAAAATGAAAGGGCAAAGGGATGGGGACTGTGTGTTTCCTTGTAGCGCAGGAATGTGAGGATTCAGTGCATCCTGCTTGTGCAAACCTGCAGATGGGGTGTCCTGCGTGGGCAGCGGAGTGAGAGCGGACTTAAACCTTTCTGTGGATTGAGTCCTAAATACTCGAGGAGGGAAGAGCAATGGGTTTGATGCCAACCATGTAGCAGTGCTCCCCAGAGCAGTATTCTGGGGTGAGAAGCAGCAGAGGATGTCTCTTACCCCTCCTTGGAGCAATGTCTGGGGCTCAGGGTAGGTTGCTCAAGGCCAGTGGGACAAGACAGGGTTGCAAATCCTTCCAGGGTTTCACCTGAACCAGGGCCTGGAGATGAAGGTTTGGCAGGGGAGAGGCTCTGGGTCTAGCTCCGTGCAGCAACTGCCTCTGCTGCTTTGTACTCTCAGGCACAGAGGATAGGGGTGCTTATGTGAGCACAGAAACCCCCTGCAGCTATGCACAGCTCCTCCAGGCTCAGGCCAGGTGGCTGCTGTGCAATTGGAAGCTTTTGCCAGGGAGAGGCCTCATTAACTCTGGCTTTCTGGGGTTATACCCACACGTGTATGTTTTGTAGACAGGTCTTTCTGTTGGATTAGATGGAGTTTGGCCCCGGCTGCAAGAAATTCCTTGTGGGACTTGCTTGGCTTATGGCAGCGTTTTGCTTGGCTGGTGGTTCTGGGCTCGTGGAAGAGATACAAATGGTGTGACTGAAGCATTTCCATGGGGGGAAGGTGGATGTAATGGGAACAGAGTATTTTAGGGTCTTAGACTCCATAAGCCACTAGTGAAGGAAGGCCTTGGTCTGAGCCCAGCAATCCTATCCATCTTCTGCCCAGCCTTCTCTGAACATCTCCTTTGAAGAGTGGGGTTGATTGAAGAATAGGGTTGTAAATAAGTAACCTCAAGAACCTTAGGCTTTGTTAGCAACTATAGAGAAAACAAAATTACTAAGATAAGCTTTGCCAGAACCACCTGGTGGTTACTGATATGACAATGATCCTAAAACAAAGTGATGAAGAAATAACCACTAGGGGTCCGAAAGCCCACTACCACATTTTTGTATGCATACAGGAGGCATTGTCTAAGAAGTATGATGTAATATATGTAATCTAATGAATATGTATGTTTAAGGACAATATAATCACAGCCTGGTTGATGCCTGGGAGAGACACACTTGGAGGACCTATCCCCCGTGTCTCCCAGCGCCGCAATAAAGAATACCTGCTTGTCAACTTAAAGCTTTGTCTGTGAGTTCCTAGAGTTTTCTCCTAGTCACCTTCATCCTTAGTCCTTCAAGCCCTGGAGTCTGCAGGGTGTTTGAAGGCATCTAGTGGAGGGGAGTGGATTTTGGGTAGGCTGTGGCAGTAGTGCATGCAGGGAAACAGGAGGAAACTGGTGGCAAGACTCAGAGGGATTAATAAAGTTTCTCTAGCTCTCTCTTACAAGGCAAGACTTCCTTGCCCATCCTACTCTGTGCTGATTCAATCTGAGACAGTCTTAAGTTATCAGGGCCGCATAGCTACTCATGGAAATATACAGCTCTTACTCACTTTCGTGGCACCCAATGGTTTTAACAGCCCCGGCTAAAAAACAAGCCCCTTTTCCCCTTTGGCTCTTGTTTGTGAAAGCTGGGAGGGAAGCGGGAGTGTTGGGTTTGAAACAGATATCCTTGGGAAGAGCTGTAACCCACAGACCTCCAGGGGATGTGGCTAACGTGCATGAAGCACCCTGCTGCTGGTGGCTGCAGGAAGGAGTTAACTGGGGTCAGCAGCCTGTTGTTTTCTTTTCCCCTTGCTGATAAGGAAAAGGAAGTCGATAGTTGTGTCCCTGCAACAGCCTCGTTAAACAGGAGAATAACAAACGGAAAATGACACTTTCCAAAGGTACCCCTCTTTCCTGAAGCTACAAAATAATTGCTTGGGCTGCCTCTTCTCCCACCACACAGGAGTAAGCACTGCTTATCTGTTCTGCAGGAATGTTTTCCCTGGTGAACAGGCTCACCACATGCTCTGGGAACACCCCGGCACCACTTGCAGACTGGCTCTATCTGCTCTAAGAAATTGGTGGTGGGATGAGTCTAACTGGGGAGCAGATGGTCTGTGCTGGCTGTTGCCCTTTGTGCTGTGCCCCACGATTTCCTTTGCCCTGTCTCTTCCTCTTCGTCAAACCTCAGCCTTGATCTAAATGAACTAAAAGCACCCAGATCTCCTTTTTTTTTTGTTGGCTTTTTTCTTTTTGTTTTTTTTTCTTTGTTTTTTGGACCAGATGTGAATTTTAATGAGATTCACGGGGTTTCCACCCCAATGTTATTCATTCTTCCGTCCATCCCCTGAGTCCTGGGCAGCTTCTCCAACTGCTTCTTCCTACAGGGCTTCATTAGGGAGGCCAAACTTTGCTATCACTTACAAGACTGCAGATGCACGTGAGTGACAGTGTGTGCTTGAATTGATTTGGACTTATCCTACAGTAACTGAAAACTGACTTGTGTGTCCCTTGCAGCTGGAGTAAATCCCTTTGCCGTTGAAGGAGTTTCTGGACTTACAGCCACCAACCAGAGAAGGAGTTCCCTTGGTAACCTGCATGTGAATCTCCACTTTTGGCTCATTCCATTAAAGAAAGATGAACCCTGAAGGGGCTCACTGACCCGTTTGCACCTCTACTTTAGGACAAGGTGAGCTGTGTCCTGCCAGCACTGGTTTTCTCCAGAGTAGGCATGGACTTGTGGCCAACACTGGGGCAGAAGTCATCCTTGGATGAGGTTGGTCCTGTCTGGATGACTGCAGGGAGGGCTCTGGACTCGCTGATATGAGATTGCTGAAATGCATACAGGTTTTCTCCTGAAGGCAGAGCTGCCTTTCTGCTCAGGAGGGTGCTTGGTCATTGATGCCAGGTACCCACATTTCTGTAAAGCAAACCCTGGGACCCTGCCTTGGTTTGTTCAAAACCCTGTTCTGCCCCTGTGTGCTCTGGCAAGTGGTGGCTTGTGAATGTCTTCTCCAGACAGCACAAGCCACCAAGGTTTTGTATCTAAAATTTGCAACCATGTGGGAATGAGAAATGAGAATTCCCACTGATGCTGGTTCTGCTGGGGCTGTTCGCATCATCCAGCACTGATTTCAGCTGGCCACCTCGACAATGTCATTATTATCTGCACATGACAGATAAATGAGCATTTCCACTTAGTCAAAGCAAGTATTGATTAAGTCCCAGGAACCAGCTGATCAATGTGATGCTGTTTTTCCCTGGTTGGACACATAGGGCTGCTCAGCTGGAGGCTGTCCAAATGCCCAGGGGCTTTGTCCATCATTAACAGTCATATACACTCAGACTATGAGGGTCTATTATACTGTCTTAATACAGGGCCAATCTGGGAATTAATGGGGATATTTGGAAGCACCTTAGCTGCTTGTGCTGATACACAAGGTCCTAAATTTCCTCTTTTAATCTTTCCCGGGCAACCAGGATCTCCCACAGGTCTCAGTGCTGGATAATGTGCTAAGCTGGTTACAGTGAATTTGCATGAATAAGTGGGCAATTCTGCTCAGGATGAATGCAACTTCATTAAGGCCCCCGAGGTTATTTGAGCTTGCTTATTGATGTCCTTTGAACCCTACAAAGGAAGATTTCAAGCAACAATTAACTTTGTGTTTGGGGTCTTAGGGACCACTCCAGCTCCCAGGCAGAATTCACCTCTTTGGAAGTGTCTTTTCCTCTTTGCTTCCCTCCACAATCACTCTTGTTATTATTGTGGAAAGTTTATTTGTGGGGAAAAAAGTTGACCTTGCTGACAGGTGATATAAAAATCTGCTGGCTGGCTGGCTGCAGCATGGCATGCAATGAATTAATGGTAGTACCCTGCCTGGGAGCTCAGTGAAAAGGGTCTGCCCAACAAAATCCGTGCCTGGAAAGCAAACTGAGCAGGAATGGATCCCTGCCTGCGTGGGGGTTGCTGCAGGGAAGCCGGTGGGGTTGGCGTGATGGTGGGGACAGAGCTGCAGGGATGTGGGAGGTGGAAATGGGCCAGAGTGTATTAAGAAGCAGAGGATGAGCATCTGAGCTTCGGTGGGAGCTGAAGGGGAGCAGGTAGAACAGGGAGGTGCCTGAAAAAGCTTTCTATGGAATCATGATAATTACCTATGCAACCACTGCAAATGAGCCTTTTCTGGAAGTGAGAGGGAGAGGCAGGGAGGGAATCCCCGAGGGGATGGAGGGAGCAGGGGGCACGGTGAGCTCAGAGACGCTCGGGACAATTCAGCTCCCTGCAGAGCTGCAAACCAGCGTGGACAGCTCTTGGTTACAGTATCAGCTAAGCGCCGCTTTGCTCTCCTGGCTCTTCCCGGGCAGGCAGGCGTTTCATTGCCCCCGACAGCAGGGCTGCACGTTCGCTGGATTAATTGGATGTCACGGACATGTGGGCTTTGCTGGACCGCTCTGCTTTGCAGCCGCGCTAGAGCTGTGGGCTCGGGATGGGTGCCCGCTCAGAGCCAAGTGTGGCATTGACACTGCAGACCCCCCTCTGTGCTCAAACACGAGCATCCACACTGAGTGGGCAAAGTGCAGATCAGGGTCGGGGCAAACTTTGGGGCTGGGAGACATCTGGGATTTACCTGGATACAAGCAGTGTTGTGTAAACAAAGCAATAAATAGTGCCTGCTTCGGAGATGTTAGCATGGGTTCATTCCTTCAGAAGAAAATCTATTACACTGTGCACAAATTGGGCTGGTGAGTAATATGGTGATGCCTTTCAGCCTTGCACGCTGCCCTCCAAACCTCCAGTCGACGAGGTGCCTCCATGCCACATCTGGGCAGTGTCCTGGCACAAGAAGGGGCAGAAACACCTATTTAGTTTTCAGAAGCTCAGTCACTTAAGGAAAAGGCTCTTGTAATTTTCCTCCCAGGCTCTTGGGTAGGTGTTTTTGCATATACCATATATATCAGTAGCACTTCTGGGCAAATTATTGTGGTTTTCATTAAAAGCAGCCACCAAGCTTTGTTTTCAGGAATTTTGGGATGATCTTAGACCTAATCACATCCTGTTTTGATCCAGCGCTGGCAAGATGTCCACTAGGTTATTCCCAGGAAAGGATTGCCTGTGCTTTCCCTGCTTCTGAGCCAGCTCTGGCCAAACAGGTTTCAAGAGCCATGGGTCTCACAAACAAATCCTGAGCTTTGAGACAAGACTCAGATATTTGGCTAAAATGACCATGTGCAGAGATGCTGTACAGTAGGAGAGGAGGGAGAATAAGTGTCCTTCTTCTCCTTAGCCCAGCTGAGCAGTGTCCAAGCCTTTGTATATCAGTCCTACATCGATGATTACACTGAAATCTGTGGCTTGTGACTGGTTTAGTGCCAGCATTGAAAGCAGCAGGCTTCCCCTCTTGTCTGACTTTGGCATAAGCAGGATCAGGATTTTGACCCAAATCAGGTAAAAGCTAGAGGGATTTTTATGAGGAAAGCCAGGATCTCCTGCAGGTCTGTCCTTGCAGTGGGAGCTTCTTAACCAGCTGTTTTGCACATCTGCAGGGTTTGCTGAGCTGGGAATAAAGGCTGGAGTTTGTCTCCAGTTATCCTGACATGATGCTGGGCTGACACCAGTGGTTTCAGTAATACTTCAATCGTTCTGGCAGTGGGGCAGCGGTGGAGATGGGATGTCCCATCCTCATAGGAGCCTCAGGGTGGGGAGAATCAGGTTGGGGTCTTTGTTCTGGACGTGGCCAGCAAGAACGAAGAGCCGCGAGGAGGCAGCGGGCAATGGCACTGCTGTGCGGAGAGCCCAGCTCCCATCTGGCTGCCTTATCAAGCCCCGCACAGGCTTCCGTGTCACATTGGGATGTAAATTGCATTAATTGAATTCACTTTGGCTGCGCTTTTGGGAGCAGACAATGACTGAGTCAAAATCTCATTTACATACTGGTAAGACACAGTTGAAAAATGATGCTGTCTAATGAATAAAATGTGTGTAACTGGTCCAGCTTGATATTAGCATTAAAGTGTTAATCACTTTGGCATATAAGTTTATAGAGCTGAGTAAATCTGTCTTCAAAGCATCCTGAAACAGAAATCTATGTTTCTGGACTGCCATAGCAACACATAGATGTCTTCATTGTATTTCTTGGTCAGAAAGCAGGTGCCAGCTTCTAATTAAAGCCTAATTTGCAATTTGTGTCCTATTCACTCTTTTCATGGGAACTTTGATGGCTGATATAGTGGTAAGCAATAACCAGCGGCAAGACTTGAAAGCAGTAATGGAGATTCATCTGCCCCTGGGGCTGCTGGGCTGAACAAGCTCAAGAGAGGGGAAGGGCCAGCAGCATGTTGTGACATGTGTCCCTCGTCCAGGAGGGACTATGGAAGCTTGCAGTGAGGGAAGATGGAAATCAGTGCCCAAGAGCTGATGCCAGCCTTGCAGGGGCCAGCAGTCCTCCTGCTCTGTTCTGAGGACAGCTCTGGCCCTCCGTCTTTGATGACAGATGGAACGGGCTTCTTCCAAACTCACAATTAAAGGATCCAGATTAATGATGCCCATGGAGGTCTCTTGTTGCACATGTTCTTCAGCCTGCTCGCTGACCTGCAGTATCTCATGCTTTCCAGTCTTCCCCCTGCCACCTATCCATCTCCTTTTATTTTTTTTTTGTGCTTCTAATTACAGCTTCTTATAAGCTCTTGACAGCACTAATCAAGGTAATTAGCAGCAGCAGGTCCGTTGGTACACAGACTCATGGTGGAAAGGTGTCCTGCTGGAGCAGGCTGCCCTGGGAGCAGAGTATCTCAAAGTACATGGAGTGGGTGGGCTAGCATCAATCTATACGAGGTGTTGCTAAGGACAAAGTGAGGCTGCTCTCCTTGGGCTGTATTTGTTTTTGCTTGCTGGGGTTTTGGAAAGGGACCTGAGAGAGACAGGGCTCAGATTCCAGTGGAATTCAATGGTGCTTTAGGTGCAGGCCTGGGCACTGGCTGGGGAGCTGAGCCTTCCCAAAAGCTCAGCTCAGAGGGTGGGAGTGGGTCCATGGAACCCTAAACTTTTCTTAACCTATTCCCCAGCTGCAGACACCAATTGCCTGCAAATCCTGGCTGTGCTGGGCTTTTCATTGCCCAGCCCATGGGACCCCAGCCCACTCCTTGCACCATAAGCACAGGGTGCGTGCTTATTGAAGTCCTATAACCCGTTGTGGAATGTTGCTGCTTTTGTAGCAAAAAAGAAGTCAGTGGCTCAACCTGTGTGCTGTTCCAGGAGATGTTTCAGGTGCGTCACACACATGGCTAAATAGGATAGAAAATGTTGCATTCTTCTGCCCTCAGCCCTGTAATTCTTCTCTCCATCCCCTCCTGGCTCAGTTACCATGCAAAAAGGTAAATTGCTGCTGGACTGTTTATCAGCTGCTAATCTCCTTTCTGAGGGACTTGGATCCCCCTGGGCAGGCCCACAAGCACTGACATCCCAGGAGTGCTATCATCTCCTAATAAGCACTTTCTCCTGATTGCCTTATGGCTTAATTGTACCATGCATGATCTCCTGAGTAGCATGATACAGTTAAGACACTGCAGCACCTTGCAGGAGTGATCATAGATTATAGACCTGACCTCTCCCCTTGTCTTATTGCCTGCAACCCCATGAGGATCAGTAGCAGCACCCTGAGCCTTGATTGCCCCAGAGAGCTGGTGATGGGGCGGGTGGCCCAGAGCCTCTACTGATGAGGGTGATGCTCTGTGCTTTTATCAAGCTTTCTGCTTTAGGCTCAGGGCCTTGGCAGCAGCTAGAAATTACAAATTCTAAATACAGTTGAAGAAGGCAAGTGAACAGATTTGCACACAGCTGCCTGATGCTGCTTATACCCTGTGAGTGAATCCCTAAGTAATGGTATATAAAGAAAGGGGGATGTAGGCATAGTTGTTTACGTGACCTGGGATTTCAGCTGATAGTTTCCTATTTGCTGTTATTTCCTTCATGTCTTTGCTGGGAGCTCTTTCTAACCAGTGACCACTTTTCAAGCACTGTATAAATAATCCTGGCCTCATGCACGTGCATAAGTAGACTTACTCATATCAGTCATCCCCAAGCTAGGGTGAAAATTCCAATAAGTAGGTGTGGAACACTCAGGTGTATGGTTAAATCAACAAAATAAATATGGAATGCCTGAGAGAAATGGAAAAGAAGAAAACCAAAACAACCCAGCTAAAACTTTGCTCACGTAACAGGAAAAGAATAGCCTGGGGCTCTGTCCATCTATTTCTCTCAGTGAACGGAAAACACTTTGCTCCAGGAATCTGCCTCTTTCCTGCTTGCTGGGGGATGTAGATGCAAGTGCTTCCCGCAGGGTATATCCTGTTTACCTAATCCCCTGCTTCCCACTATCGAGCCACACGTTCCAACAGGCATTGCTACCATTTGAGTGACATCTCCTAAGGAGCTGAAATAGTTGTCTTAATAAAGAATCGATAATGTAAGGCTTTTTGGCACATTACTGGCAGGATAAGAGCTCTAGGAAATTGCTGCAGCCCCTAGAACAGAAGCACCCACTCTCAGTGAGTGGGATGGTGGCATCCAGTGACACCAATGGCTTCTGTGAACCCAGCACCTCCTCTCCATCCCACTTACTGCCCGCTCTGGGTGATGCCTCAGGAGCTGTTGCAGCTTTTCCTGCTACATGATTCCTTGGGGCTTGGTTCAAACCCTCATGAGAACGTTTACTTTGGTACACACGGGAATTGCTTTAAAACATCTGGCTTTAAGCCCCCTTGGCTTTATGTGGCATTATGTACCTAAATAATTTAGACCATTATTAAAACATTTTCTGAAGGGCTCAGTGCTCTTTCGCTATCAGTAGGGATGGCCTGGGGAGTGTGTTAGTGAGGGATGTCATCTCGCCATCAAGTTCTTTTCCTCCTGATGTTTCTACTAGCTGGAGTTAAGGTTTGTTCTAGCCCAAACATCCCTAACCACATGATAAATGCTATCAGTGTTACTAAAATATTTCACAGGAGCCAGAAATGTTTGAAAAAACATGTTACAACACTAAGATAAATGTTTTAATGCTGTGTTAGGAACAGGCTTTCTCTGTTCTTAGCACAAACTGTGTGATTTTCTTTTTTATCCCTTAAAGCAATTTGCCACGGACAGGGGATGTGCTGGCACACGGTAGGCATGCGCCAACTCTGACAGAGGGTCCATGATGGCAGCAGTGGGGTCCTGTGTGGGTCCTTCCCCAGCTCTGTGTGGTTCATGCTTTGGATTTGGGCACTTTGCAGGTCTAAACATAGCTGGGGATTTGCTGGTTTTTTTGGGCATGCAGGGGTACAGCCACGTGTGCCAAGACACAGCCTTTCCCACAGAGCAAAGAGCTGATCCAGCCATGAATCATGGCTTCAGCTTATCCTCCAAAAGCTCAGAGTCAAGAATATGATGCTAAACCACTCATTATGCACAGACGGGAAGCCCGTGATTTCATGGAGCAGTTACTTCTCCAAGCGTTTTGATGCCTAAACCATTGTCTTGACATCTTGGGATCTGTGTCTAGAATAAATTACAGGCTCATGACATCAATCAACAACTGGATCCAACTCGAGTGGACTCAGCCTCTCCTCTTTTGCTGCTGCCAAAACAGAGGCTGATGGCAGTGATGGCTGCAGAGACAACAGTGTTTAACCCACCTAATTAAAAGCTTGAGCTGGAAGACCTCCAGAGAGAGAGTGGCAGCTCTTGGGAGTTTTGCTCATCGGTGCTTTGTGCCAGGATGCAGTGCATGATTTGCAAGCAGGGAGCAGATAGCACAGCATGGCCTGGACTGCTCTCTAGGTGTGACCTTGCTTGTTGAGGTCTTTTGCATCCCTCAGTTTAGCAGCTGTCTCTTTGCATGCTCGGAGATACCTTCCACAAAGGAGCCAGCCTGCAGGCACAACAAAAGTAGTGGTGTTGCTCAAGAGCAAATGTTTGCAAAATAGAGCAAAACTGACTGCGCAATGGAGCCGTGACTCACTGGGTTCCTCTTTAGGCTCACAACAAATAATTGCCATGGGATGCTGAGTGTGCAGTTCAAAGGCAGACGTCTTATTGTTTTGCTGAAGGGAAAGTATTTGGGAGTGCATGTATTGTATATCCTATTAGTACATATGGGATATTTTTACTGCCTGTTTTCCCTATGTGACTATAGAAATAAAATAGAGTATTTCTTTTCTATCTGCAAAAGCAATGGTAGGGTATTTAGTACTGCCTGGGAAAAGTTTTCTTATGGACTAAGAAAAGTGCCCTTGTGGAGCAAAGAACCTCAGACACCAGTTCTCAAAGGCAGTGTCTTTTAAATACAGACATTTCTGATAGCTTTATCTGTGTCACATCAAGGATGATGTTTCACCCAGCATCTGGAAAACCCACCCCAGGACCAGATCCAGGCACTGTAGCCATGACCCAGCTGTACTGTTTCATTCCCTGGGGCCGGAGATCTCTCCTGGTTGCTGCATTCACTGTGTCATGCAAGGGTGCCCACTGCATGGCCAAACGAGACCCTCCTCAAGGGGTCAGTGCTAGACTGGTCAAGCCCTGCCACTCCTGGTGATGCTCCCAGCAGATATAGCAAGATCCTGAATAAAAACATCTAGTTCTTTTAAAAGGTGTCAGTGACAGAAACTGCTCTAGCTGCCTCTTCAGTAAGCAAGTTCAGCCCACAAATCCATGCTTAACTCCTGTACATCCTCTGCTCCACAGTTCGCCTTGCAGAAGATGGAAGAAGCTCATCCAGGACAACATCTGCAGCCTCACCTAGGTAGGTGCAGCTTAGGACAGGTGGCTGTAGTCCCAGCGAGGAAAGTCATGTGGAGCTAAGTAAAAGTTATGCCTGTTACAAGCTCTGCTGCTTTTTAATGAAAGGGGAACCCATGTTCTCAGCTACTTTCTGGAGAGTTTTGGGTGGCAGTTGATTAGAAACGCAGATTTCCTACTTTTGTGCTTGCAAGAAAGAGTGGAGATGTGAAACTTCGAATGTGATGGAGCAAACACATCTTCTTGTGGGTTTCATCTTCTGCTTGCAGGAGATGCTTGAAGGAGTAGGAAGGAGGAGACTGAATACTTCCTGGGTGGAAGAGGTCTGTGGGTGAATGGGGAGGGCTAAGCCTGTGGCATGCTGGCCCCGTTAGCCATACTGACATAGATGGCACATAGCTTGTGCTATACGTGCTGATCCCTGCACCCACCTTTGTCTGGTGGGTTGCAAAATTTGAGGCAATGATGTCCTTTGCAATCTGGTCTCTATTTCTCTCGGGAATAAGGCAAATGAAAGAGGGAGACAGGTTCCACGTGAAGTCCTCATGGTAAAGGCAGACCTCTGAACATGTCTGAGTGGCAGAATCTCCTGGCTTATGTGCTGACAGAGGGAATGTATGCTGGAAAAGCAAAACAGCATACAAATATTTACTCTGCCCTGAGCAGGTTAACAGATAGTGTCAGCCTTTGTCTTATTTTATTTAATCCTTCAGCCTGGCTCGGTTCATGTTTGCTGATTTGAGTTGTCTTTTTAAATGTATACATGTTTCCTCTCTGTCTGTCCAGAAGAAAATAGTTCCAGAAGCCAGGGAATGGGGTTGTTCCTGTCTTGTGCCATGGCCTCCTGCTTGAAATTCCCACATCTTTTATTGGCTAACTCAGGGTGCAATCCTGCATCGTGGCAGAAAGGTCTCCTGAAATGTCTGTGAGGTGCTGGTGAGCTGTCCTGGGTGGAGGAGGATGGGGCTAGGTGCTAGAGTGGGAGCCAGCGGGCTGTACCCATGGACCAATTTGCTTTTCTGGAGGCTCTGGCTTACTGTGTCCTCCAGTCCTCTGCACATTCCTGATCCAGCTCCATTCGAGGTGATATGTGCTTTTTTCCTCCATCCCTTCATGAGTGCCCCACCCATTTTAAGAGAGGTAGGGTCAGACATCTCACGTGCAATGATGTGATTCTTCCACCAGTGCTAAACAGTGGTCAGAGCTGATTCCCTGCCTTGGTGGACAACAAAAAGAGATGGGGAACACCTCTGTTTTATCCAAACTTTGTTGTCCCAAATTGTGTCCCAAATCACAGTCCTCTTCTAATGGGAACACCCAGATTTGGAATCCCAGATTTATGCTTACTTAGTTTAAGGTTGGGCAGTAGAGCCTACTAACCTCAGCTGGAGAGCAGAAAGCATGATCTAGGTAGAAAAGACAGGATGCATGGATTTCAGCAGAAATACATTAAAGTGGAAGGCTGAAGCTGAATATCTGGACTTTGCCAAACACTACCCGCCAAGGATGTGCTGATTTCTCGCCTATGTCTATGGAGAAGTGAATTTCAGCTTGGTTTTGGTTTCAGTTTGAGGTATTCAGTCCATTTAGGGAGGGACGGCTAAGGAAGTGATGTGGGGAAAAGGAAATTATTGTCCCTTTCTGAAAGTCACATAGGGATGGTTTGACTTTCGGTCTTGTTTTTGTCTAGCAAGGAAGACATGTAGTGGGGTTAGCTTATGTGCCACGGTGTTCCTAAAATCCAGGCAGGGTTTGATCCGGAGTTTATACTCAGATCAATCCTTGCTGTTTGAACTCCAGGTTTCGATAGCTGGGTTCAGGATCAGCTTATTCTGAAATTTAGGCAAATATTCTTGGTTTTGACTGATTTCCTGTTCCAATGTTGGTTTTAGCTGGGGAAGAACTAAGGGTCTGACCCACTGTACACTAAGTCTGACGAATTTGCTTCATACCAAGCTGGCCTGTGGATGGACAGTCTTCCAGCAGATCCAAGCCCAATTCTGCTCTCTTTTACCCCTCTGTAAAGCCAAAATTGAGCCAAGCAAAGAATAGATCTGCAGGCATCAAGCCTCTTCTAGAGGTAGGATTTGGCAAGCTGTAAACAGACAGCACATACAAACACCTCCTGGGGGAGTGACTGACGTTACAGCCACACTCAGTGGACTTCAACCACAACTGCAATTACTTTACACACCTTTTGAGACACTGGTATTATCATCTTGGTGTCTTATTCTTCACTGACAAACAAAACTCCTTCTTTCCAGGTCATGAGAGGGGCTTAAGGTGAAGGGCTAGTTGACTCCACTGGAGAAAGACGCTTCTATGGCACATTTTTGTTGCTATAAAATCAGTCTAAAATAATGAGAGTCATGAAAGGATATGACCTAAACTATAAAACCCACTTATTAAAGTTGTATGATAAATCAGAGAAGGGCACATTTGCCTCTTCCTAAGGAACTGCATGCAGCTGGACAAGAAATCGAGGCAAGGCAGATTGATTTCTGGTGTGTGGCTCTCTTCCAGCTTGGGGTGAAGAATTAGCACAGGTCAAATTGCTCACAAACCTCTGTCAAGGAATATATATGTCTAGCCTATATGTCAGGCTAGAGGAAAGAAAATCTGAGCTCTGTGGTCCTGCTACATCCCAGCATGGGTGGTTTTGTTAGTTATATCCTTCTTTGCGCTTGTGTCTGGGTGCTCAATTTTTATTCCTTCCTTTTCTTCTGTAACAAATCTAGCAACGGGTCTCCAGCAAGATGTCCTGCTGTCATGTTAAGTGCCGCAGCTGAAGTATCAAGGTCTGCTGCTTAATTTCTTCTACCCGTGTTTCCAACATTGATGTCAGTGCATCCAGTTCTGCCTCAAGGGCAGAAATACATGGACCAGATTTGGAGAGATTTAGGTAAGTAAAGTAGGATAATCTACTCAAGGTGAGGGCTCATGCTAACATTACACTCAGCAGTCAGGGAACAACCACTTGTTTGGTGGGCTGGAGGGGACCGGGTGTTGGTGGTGTTAACAGCCCTTTCACTGAGTGATTAACCGCACCAATAGAAGTGAGGGGCGAAGAAGAGAGTGTTTTGTTGTTATTGCTAAGAATATGTTCTCATTCTTTAAATGCTTGGGAATCTTTCTTAACCCACTCAAATGATTTGTTTTTCTGGGAAAGGTCTGACTGGAGGGGAGGTTCCCAGATTAACGTTCGCCAACAATAAACTGTAAGGGGGAGCAAAGCAAGAAATGTTAAGGAGCTGTGCGATGCTACAGCAGCTATGACGTGAAAGCTAAGCAGTGTGAAGTTAAAGCTGTTTGTTCACAAAGCTGTCGGGTATGGATGGATCGGGCAAGTTTTTCCTCAAATCCCAGCTCCCAGAATACCAAAACAGAACTGAAATGACCTCATGTTGCTTCAAGGGCTGAGGCTGAGCCCTCCTGTCCATGCAGGGCTTATGTCAGGGTCAGTTACAGTGCAGGAGCAGCATCTTTTCCCTTCAATTCCTCATGGCCCTAAGACGTCTTGGTTCTTAGCTGCTAAGTAATTTTCTTGGGTAATGCAATAGTTCATGGAAGAGCCTATTATTTGCCAGTAGCAAGAGACTCAGCAAGCACTAATTGGACAAATGAGGCCCCAGGGATTTACAAACTAAGCAGATGAATATGCAGCTGGGGAAAAAAGGCAAACGAGGCTCTGAGCCACCCTGAAGGGCACCTGGGATGGGGCTTTGCTCCTGAAAGCGGAGAGGCATGTGCCATCTTTCTTTAGCTGCAATGGTGTTAATAACTGCTCTGTCCAGAGAGGTCCTTCTTCCCCTGCAAACTGTCTCCCACCACTGCTTTCTTTGGGAGCACCTCTGATGAGCAGATTTGGGGATGCACAAACTGCACTGTGTGGCAGGTATTTGGAAATATTTCCCAGGCTTTTGGCGTGCTTCCCAGCTCACATTACCCACAGGGACAGGCTGCTATCAGTTCTCAGTGTGGGGTACTGCGATGAGAAGACTTTCTAACTCTTTGCCTCTTCCCAGACTAAAATTTTTCCTCTAAGGAGGAAAAGAGCAAGAAAGCAAAGGTCATTATGGGGAAAATTAAGTTTGGCTTTTTTTTATTTCTTTTTGCCCTCAAGTATTCCCTTGGAAAGAATATCTTGAGGTGTGCCAGGCTCCAGCAGGTCTTCTGGAAGCTATTCCTTGCAGCTGTGGGACATTAGTCCACTGGTGCTTGTCTTGGCCTCTAGTGAACCCAGCCCCAGCTTGCCAGCAAGCCAGCTCCTGGCCTGTGAAGGCAGGGACAGATTCCCCCATCCCTGCTGCTACTTCAGCCCAGGATTGCAGGCAGCTTGTCAGGGAGCAGGCAGGGAGTGTTTAGGTCTCAAGGGAGGCTGATGGCATCATCTCTTCCTCTGTGTGATAGCTGGTGCCTGTCCTGACTATGCACGGATTCACCTCTTGCTGGGCTCACCAGCAAGTCAAGGGGCTGTAATAACCCAGGAGTCCCAGTTCTTTGCTAAGCCATGAGGCTGGCACAGGGTTTGGGGCGTAGCGAGGAAGGGAAGGAGAGCAGGAGGATGAGAGGGAAATGGCAGTGATGGATACTCCCTCCCTTCTTCTTGTGTTCCCATGGGTAGCTCATTCTTTGAGGCCATAGCTTCATCTCTTTGGGCCCAGGGATCATTTGATGCTGCCTCCCCACTTGGTCTGTGCAGGAAAACAGATTAGACTGTGATTTCCAATACACATGACACAAGACAATGTAATGGCTTAAATCCACTGTTTTTTGACTGCTTCCAGACATAATTCATTACTTGTTCACTTTTCCTTCCTTTACCCTTGCCCTTTCCAGCAACCCCTCTGCAGTGAGGAATGTTTATTGCACCACCATCAAAACACAGCATATCCTCAAACCTCAAAGTCTCTGGGCATGAGGTCTGCTATCCCCCACAGCTGGGTCTTGCTCCATGACCCGGGTACCAAACTACTATTGTAAAAGGAATAATAAGGTGTTGTGTTCAATCAGTGTCTGGGACCGAATTCTCCTGGTCCTGCAGCGCTTGGATGTAACACTAGAAATAGCCCCAGGGGAACAGCCAAGAAATGACTGATGGTGTTGAGTAAGTTATTGCAAGCCCTTTTCATAGAAAAAAGTGATCGTGGCCTGAGTTTGGATGATAGATCACTGCTTTTTTCTGTAGTGCATTAGCACTTGATCTCAGAGGTCAGGCCAGAAAATAACCTTCTCCCTCTAATTGACATGCATAGCTACCACTGTGTGTTAATTTGGATTGGGGCTGAACTTTGAGCACCAGTGCTGAGATCAGAAGAAAGGAGAGTGGTAAATCTATAGTAAATTGCTTGGATATTTATAGGCTCTCATATGTGAAACATTTATTTAAAAAACCCAAACATCACATTCCATTGGACAGCCTGGCTTTCTGCCGATGGCCAGGG